CCTAACCCAATATGTGCCCCACTGCTGCTGTCAAATGCTGCGTTTATACAGGCGGCGCAGCCCCACAAAGGCGTTAAACACGTCCGTTTCTGGGTGTGGTTACAGGCTCTGCCGATCTTTGAGTCCTTATTGCGCCCCATCGCCCATGTGCCATTCTCAGAAGCCACAGAAACGTGCCAATAAGAGATCTTGGAAACCATTATCCTACGGTCCTTGGCTTCATAAAGCTGCAACAAGACTATTCCCGCACGTCATCTCCATGACCAATAACAAAGGCAGGCGTGAGCCCGTTGACTTTTCTGGGTTGCGAAAGTAGGTGATCGCTAATCAGGCAAGGGGCGAAACTCTAACGGTGCTCATGAGGATTTCACAGCAATTGGTAAAATGGTCCAAAAGTTATGTACCGACCTAATACTGGCACCGTTTAACCGTTTTCCTCTTCGTTTCTTTGGCTGAATCTCTAAGCTTTCCCACCTGATCGTGGTTTATCGCGACCCCTTTTTTCCCTACCGACCAACAACTTAATCGAAATCAAACTTGTCATGAATGGGNTCTCCCAGATCACCATTACTAGGCATCACATCTACCGCCATAGGAACCGGAATCCTTTCCAGTTGTCTTGGCGTTTGTACGGCCAACCACTCCAAGCTTTTTCTGCCTTAATGAGAATCCGGCTTATCGCTCTCAGAGAATGGTTATCTTCAGAAAGTAGGTGGAACAGAACTCATATGCTGATCAGGCGACTTATACCGCTTCTGACAGCTTATAAACTCTAATGTGATGGTGGAGCGTAGTGAATAGGCATGATCCATCACGCCATCAAAACAATTTTAGGAAGGCTACTTCCTTTGCTACAAGTGGGCTTTGCTAAAGTTGTGTTACGTGCTACCTGACACCCTTTTCTTCAAAATTCTCCCCCTCTACAATTAAAGGGGTACCCCACTAGAGTCGAATAAATTTCTCACGAAATTAACCTACTACTCTATAGGTTTTCAAGAGCCTACTCTATGGGTTTTCAAACCCCAGATAAGTTTTCGCTCAAAGGCTCAGCATCCCTGAGGGATCAGAAAACCCGGCACAAGGCAGACTGGCCACAAAGTAATGTAGTAGAGAATCAATGTCAGCAAATTGCCTGCCATCCAACACATCCGAACAGTAAAGTAAAAACTATGATCTCTGCCTTCGAAAGAACGATTACCGGATAGATTGACGCTGAACATCCTATGCAGGTTGTCAGGCTTGTTCAAAGAAGATTCTGATCGCACTATTCGAGTGTTACTTTATGTAGCAGCTACCACAATTACTAATTTGAGATCAAGCTTACCTTGAGTGAAGGCCGAACGTTTTTAAACTCTTCGCATTCCTTGTGAACTTTCCAATCTGATGGATTTTCACTATAAGATGGTCATTTCAGTAAGTAGCAAACTAGTTTCTATTCTCAATAACTTATCAAAACCAGCACCTAAAAGGATACTACCATCACGTAAAACTGGGGGTATCCTGCCATCTATGCTCTCAAGAGTCGCACTTCTATCTATACATCTAAGTGATAGTTTCAGTAAAAATCTTTATGATGGATTGCTCACACAGACCAATGCTCTTCATCCTACTCTTCAGGCCAGTGCGTTCACTGAACCTTGAAGTCGTTCATGCGTTACATCTATACTTTACATTCTAGTATCGAATTATGTTCCCAGTTGTCGACAGAGAAGTTTGATGACGTTGTTGTTTCAATTTAGTGAAAATGGTGCTCTGGCTTACGTCAATACTGTTGCTGTTTTCTGTAAAAGCTCAACAGGAG